TATAATATATTTGACTTTTTTTTAAAACCATCTCAAGAACATGTCTGGATATATTCCAGACATACTTCATATTTCATTTAAATATATATATATATATATTTATTTTATTTTATTAAAGATTAACCATTAGTTTGCATTGAAACATTATTATCATGAACATTTGTTATGCATAAATCTCAAGAATATGTCCGGATTTATTTCTGGACACTGGACATTTAATAATAAAATAAATAAATGAATAATAAAAAAATAAAAAAAATTGATATGATTATCATTAAAAGTATCACCCCTCCCCCAAATTCTTGTTACTTAAATGTGAAAATAAAATAAAATATAATATTTAAATTAGGGCTGTCAAATGATTAATCGTGATTAATCACATCCAAAATAAAAGTTTTTTTTACATAATATATGTGGGTGCACTGTGTATAATTATTTTATATATATAAATACACACACATGCTTGTATATATTTAAAAAATATATTTTCATGTATATACTGTATATAGATTTATATATAATTTATATTATATATAAATATAAATATTTTATGTATAAATAAAATATATTTTTTTCTTAAATATACATGCATGTGTGTGTATTTATATATATACAAAATAATTATACACAGTGCACCCACATATATTATGTAAAAAAAACTTTTATTTTGGATGTGATTAATCGTGATTAATCATTTGACAGCCCTAAATTTAAATTCTATTAAAAGTAGACGTGTTTATATATCATGGAAGCAATAGTTTAATTACCTTTTATTTATGCTGATTTAAAGTTAATTTGCAAATAAAACTCAAATGTAGTGGAATGCATCGCACCGATTGGAAATGTGAGGGTGTCATGTGACCCGGACATGAGTTTTTTTGGTGCTTGTGTGTGTAATGATCTTGTTCTTCTGTGGGAATGTCACCGGAGCGTCGGTCTCATTAATTATCAGGCTTTGCTCTTCTGGAAGGTCCGTGGGATCGTCCGGCTCTAGATAATAACGTATCAAACTCAACTCGTGTTGTTTCTCATGCTCTCACTATCAGCATAACTCTGTTCTTCAGATCCACACAGAAATAAAGCGTTGTGACATGTTCTGTCTCCAGGCCTTCAGCACGATATCTCTCTCTCTCTCCTCTCCGGGTTTGAGCCCGCTCCCCGTGTCAGCGGGTCTCACGAGTTATTGTCTTCCATAATTAACCGGTTATCAAACAAGAACATTTCATTAAGGTACAATTACAGCTAATTCTGCGGGGGGCGAGCGGCGTGTCACGATTAAGACGCCAACACATGCTCCCGTTACTTCTAATTCATAGCGACCTGCTCCCTCTCTGACGGCTTCAATTGCTAATGAATCCGCTCACTTTGGAATAATTAGAAATCCTTAGGCATGGTAATTTATTTAAGAGCTGCTGTCGTTAGGGCCACTCATTAGTGGAGGTTAAATTAATTTGAAACCAAAGCTGCTGGAAGCTCCTCGGGAGTTCATTACTACACGAAACCACGCCACCCCGTTCAATATTTAACTAGCAACACGCTAGGTCACAAACTTACGTTCGCTGAAGGTATTCGAGAGTAATTTATCGTTATTTTTGTTCTGTTGGTTGAATTAATCTCCTCAGTGACGGTTCAGACATGCTGACGGATCAACAGTTGCGCTTATCAGCATTTATATCATTTGAAAGCGGTCACTGTTACATTTGTGTATCAAGTGTTGAGGTCACAGTAACACTTTATCAGTATAACTACTACATGTCAACTTATTCTACTAACCCGAACCCTAAAATACAGTCTACTAATACTCTAATGAGAGTTATTATATAGAGAGACATATGGAAAGTTACTAAGTTGCCTGTTCACACCAAGAATGATAATGGTTTAATAACTATAAAGATAATGGCACAGAGAAACCATTTCGTTAGAATAATTTCATTCCAGAATAAGGTTTTTTTCCAGCTGATAAACAATAAAAACAGCCAATCAGAATCCATCCTGCTTTAATGAGCTCGAGCATTTAAAGCGACAGACGACTGCAAGCTCATAATTAGAATATGGTGCAAAAGTTCATTATTTCAGTAATTCAACTTAAAAGGTGAAACTAATATATTATATAGAGACTCATTACATGCAAAGTGAGATATTTCAAGCCTTTATTTGTTATAATTGTGATGATTATGGATTACAGATATGAAAACCTTTTCACAATATTCTAATTTTGAATTTGGGGTTTTCATAAGCTATAAGCCATAATCATCAAAATTATAACAAATAAAGGCTTGAAATATCTCACTTTGCATGTAATGAGTCTATATAATATATTAGTTTCACCTTTTAAGTTGAATTACTGAAACTTTTGCATGATATTCTAATTTTTAGAGTTTCACCGGTAAACAGAACGATATTGACGCTAATATAGTTATTGTTATAGTTATCATCCTTGGTTTGAACGAGCCTTATATAGTCCAGATATCTACTATATAGAATATTAAACTAAATATACGGTTACCAAAATGATTGATCAATGTATTGTATTACTAACTGAAAACGTGCTGACGAAGAAATCTGTACGGAATGAGGCTTTTTACATTTGGTGAACGAACAAATTCAAATTGACGAAACAAAATAGTTTGTTGAGAAAATGTACATGAATGCACTTCTCTCAACCTTTCCTTTTGTTCTAGTTGTCAACGTTTCCGGCTTTCTCTAGTTCATTGATGAGAATCTTAAACAGTCTTGCTGTTCATTTGTGAACGTTCATTAGATTTGTTTGGTCTCAGTCATGAAACATTCGTAAATATACGAGTAAATATGCGAGTGATTTGCGCGTTAAGAGACCTTCCCGAAAACTCTTCTCCTGATTCACAAATACTTCATAAACGTCAGATGTGATAGTGAAATGTGTGTGTGTGTTAATGAATTCCAATCAGTCGTAAATGGGACGCGCGTGCACGTTCATTCTCAATTACCATAAATCCCGCCCATTAAATCCGACTGACAACTATATATGGGCATCATATTATGACATGAATGCGAATGAAAAAAAAAATTTCTCAGATGCAGAAATTGAAGTTTTATTATCAGAAGTTCATTCAAAACGCCACATTTTATTTTCAAGCGTACATAGTGGCGTATCGGGTCCTAAAAAAAAGCATATTACAGATGCAGTTAATGGAGTTTCATCTGTTAATCGAACATTCCCAGAAGTGAGAAGAAAATGGTTCGACATTAAGCTTGAGAGCAAAAAACGAATTAGTTCACTTCGGAAAAATAGTATTCAAACTGGAGAAGGACCACCATCGCAGATGCTATACTGGCTCTCATAATAAGAAAAACCGTATGTAATTACTATATATAATATTTTTTCAAAATGCTGTGTAAATATGTACCCGATTAAGGTGAATTGAAATGCAGCCTTAGTTATTAATGAGCAAAACATTCGGGTGTTAAGCGCACTATTCACGCGTGGCTGGGAGCAGGTGTAGATTTCTTTTGTAACAACTAACATTTGGAAAATACGAACATTTTAATGAATCCGAAAATTTACGCCAGAACCACTTTACACACGATTTACACAAAAATTCGTTCTGCTCGTGTTTCATGAATGAGACCCATTGTGTCTGTATTCTCAATCCGTTCATATGTTTGGTTGCTGTGAGTGTTGTATGAATATGTGCAGGTGCTCAATTCATGTTTTGACTAAACTATTGTTATTATGACCAATAGAAGATATGAAACTCTCACTCTCACGACTTTATAGTCGGCTTGAAATGGAAGTTGCGCTCGTATATCCGAGTGAAACGCTTCTGGAACAAGAACAAATGTGGGCGGGGCTTGATTTTGTCTGTGAGGAATTGATTGGATGGTTGTGGTTTGCTATTGGCTGATCTCATGTGAGTGACAGGTTATAGCCCCGCCCACATCATCAGAGAAGAGATGCTACGAGAGGAAGTTACTCTGATTCAAGATTATTAACACAATAATGATGTGCACGGATAAATCATTTAGAATAATGATAAAAACACTGCAATATTCCATATAAGAATGGAATTGTCTATTTAGATTTTTGCTCTCCATATAAATAGGATTGCTGTAGGAGACAGAATTGTGATATTAAAGAGATCTCATCTGTGTTTTTATCTTCCTATGGGACTGCAGCCATATTCATCTTGTTAAGTCACATCGCCTTTTTCTCCATTTGCAATTTAACGTTGTGTCTGGAAGCAGCGTGACGTATTTTGTCACCGATTTAAAGCGTGTTTTCCCTCATAAGATGAAATGGTTCTGATGTCCGCCCCAGTTTCAGGAGGGAATTGGCCGCACTCGATGCCAAGAAGAAATGGAAAGCGTAATTCTGGGATGTGAAATGATTGACAAGCAATTACATTAGCCTACATCGCATTTCATTCACTTTGTGTGCTTGAATTCTGTCTTTCTCCCTCCACAACCCCCATCCTTCTCTTCTGCGCTGTTTCTTTGATGTGGGATGTACACTTATAATTCTCAGTGTGTGTGTTTTTATGGACTTTTCAATATCAAACCCTGATATTTAACCCTGTAAAGACTGGCATATGAAAAAATACTCAGAAAAATCTCATTTTTTTAAATGGAAGTCGAGTTTATTAAACCTTTAAACAAGTTTGCATATGTGTTTTTTTGTTGTTGAGTATCATATTTGATACATCAGGCTTTTATGGCTGAAATTGTCTGATATAATGAGAATATGGAGGGAAAAAACAGCTCAATTGTATTCTCAAATTGAGAAAAATATGCAATTTGGTTCAGATGCTGATATTTAAATGGACAAAAAGATTAAATTCTGATGCTTGTTATAACAGTACAGCAGAAACGTGCATAGAAATATCAATATCTGCCAATAATATGTCTTAGTAAGATGATATATAAATGCTTAGTTTATGATCAAAGCTCTGTAGTTTTAAAACACAATTCAATGATGATTGAGAGATGAACAAATAAACCTTCCTCAAAAGCCTGATGATCATCATATCTGATACTCATTTTTCTAATAAATGACGTACTCAAGTAAACCAAAGTTGCTTCAGTCCAGTTAAAATATTACTAACAATATCAAAGTTATTATGTTTACTTGATAAAAAATCAGTGCAGATTTCAAGTCTAAACGGTCAATCAGAGACTGGAGATTTTGTTGTAGGTTTATCAGATCATGTTCATCATTTAGAGGCCTTAGAAATTTGCATATCAAATATGAAACAGTAGCTTTATGGGGTTAAACATGTAGTTATTGTAGTATTGCAACTGCATTTACATGCAATAGCTTTTTTTCTCCAATCTGAGCTAAATTTAGCCTGACTCGCTGTGATGCTCAGCTATAGCGCATGTCATACGTGTTTCATGTAGATGCGTGAGGTTGAAAGTTGTTGACGTGACACTGGCCAGGTGCAAAGTGAAGGTTAAGTGCTCATATTCTAGCATTACGCTTGTGTCTGTTTGTGTGTTTATTCACAGTTGTGTTTCGTTCCCTCGCAGGCATATAAACGGAAAACAGAAGCGGCGAAGAAGGAGTACCTGAAGGCCCTGGCAGCGTACCGAGCCAGCCTGGTTTCCAAGGTAACCGGACGGGTTCACGTCTTTGGGTCAGCGCTAATGTTGGGGGGTGTAAACATTAGACTAAAGATTTCAGCACACACTTTCACGGCAAGAGCTGTCAGCGCAAGAGTGCTCGTGGACGTGTGTTTTAAAGGGATCGTTCATTTTCACCTTCATGCCAGTCCATCATGTGACTGGAAGATTTATAAGAAATATAGTGCTACTTTTATGGTGTTTTTTCAGACTTTGTTAAATTAAATTAAATCAAATAAATGAAAAACTACATGAACGAAACTAATATAAGTTAAAAAAGTTCTAAAATTCTTAAGTTCTAAGATGACTTTACTAATATAGACTGAAAAAAAAATGAAGAGGATATAACAAATATAAAAAAACTAATAAAAAAATGTCAAAAGCACACAATAAAATTACTAAAATTAAATCAGAAAATATAATAATAAAAGCTAAAAAATATATAAATACTATAACAGCATATAATTAATCCTAAAATTACACACTATATAAATTCCCAAATGACACACTATATGTTCTCAACCGTGTAGTTTATTCATTTAATAAGATTATGATGTCATTCAACATCAGTCTGTAAGCCCCTCCCCCTCCGCCATATAAGGAACGCTGTGACAGTGCATGAACATTCTAAACTGTTTCTTTTTTTTCATCAACATTCTATTTGGAATTTTCAGTGTGAACACAGAACTCACACTATTTATACTACAAAATGGCATAGAACAGTGCATAAGTGCACTAATTTGGATAGTCAAAGTTGATCATAGAAAATAACCTTATAAAGATACTGCTATAACTCTCCTTTTTTAGCCAACCAGCTTTGGAAGTAAAAGATGACCGATTCTTTATGTGTGTGAACTCATTCTTCAATACTGTTGGCACGCTCGTATATACATTCCCGAAAACAGCATCATTAGTTCATCCGTAACCATATTGGTCTCTGTCATGTTTCCGCGGTCTCTAACCGTCGTTTTAATCTATCGGATTGCTCGTCCGGCCGGCATCACGCTCGTGCGATCCATAAATCGATAGCAAATTTGCCAAAGTGATTTGACAGACTCAAACGAGCAGAAATCAGCATGATCTGCCGTTTCATTGCATACGTTCATCTGCATAATAAAACGCTGCGATTTCAAACCACTAATTTTACATTCATTGTTTCTCTTTTGAAAAACGCAAATTGCATTTTCATGCTAAACACTCCCTCTTCTTTCCCATACCTCGCTCTCTGAGCTCCCTGGCCCAAAACAAGAGCGCTGATTAAGCCGTGAATACAGTATTCATCAGACTCAGAGGCTTTTATTAAACGCCTTTCTCATCCTTCATTGCGTATAATTAAATATTTCGTCAAAATCTGGTTTTGGCAGATGCTTTGCTTGATGTGTTCGTAATATACTCTCATGCATTGAAAAGGAGGAAAATATGATAGAAAAAACTATCAAATGCACATCGTTTTCACGGCCCAAACCTTGAAACATACACTCGTGAAAAGAGGATGACTCTTTTTACTCCTAAATTAGGTTTTTATGCATAATTAAGACTAAAAGAATTGGTGGGAAATGTGACGTTTGAGTGTTTAAACTCATGCACCTGGTGCTATTTTATAGTGTGATGCATTATTGTCTTAGTAGTTTTATAGAAATAAGGGTTTGTGTTTGTGTAAAAGTACATTTTTACCATTGCATTTGTCATTTTATCCTTACAATGACTTTTTAAACTCTCGTTTTGTAATGTTGTTTCGAGGTTTTATGAAATATGAGGCGGTTAATGGCAGTTTCTTTTCTGAAAGCGATCATGTGGTGTGTGTGTGATGATGTACGTTCAGGACCTGGACAATCTCCACTTGTTTAATTTAAAGAGAAATGTTTGGAAATGTCCGAAGCAGATGTGCTCGCTCAAACGCTCACGTCCACATGCTTGGCCTTCTCTCGGTTCTCTACGGACACAGATTCAGCCCTCCATCTCTTCATGGTGATCAGTTTAGATGTTCTGCTCAATAAATATGAGGCATTATGAAGGCGCCCGGGTTGTGACAGCTGATGAACACGACCGACTGCCCATCACGCGCTGGCATTTGAAAAACATATTGCCATTTACGATGCGTAAAACGGTAATGAAACAATGCTCTGCTGTAAGCGCATGCTCTCAATTTGATAAATCAGAGATAGATGTGTTCGTGCGATTGGTGTTTGCTACTGTTTCTCACTGTGGTTTTCTACTGACACTTCGGTTTGTTGCACGGTCTCCAGAAGAATGATGCTCATTTAGGATTCATTGAAGCATCACCTCAAATGTTCCACCTTAAATATATGTATATGAGAGCGCTAACATAAATGTGATCGTTTGATGAGAAATGTTTGAGATCATAACTGACTTTTGATTGCATACTTCGGGAAATCCAAGCAGTCCGATCTCTTCTAGAGGAGACACGTGAGATTTCTGGGATCTTTTTCTCCCAGAAACATCTGAGATGCTGGAGACTTTATTTTCTAGCTCAGCGATGTCTAGGAGAAACAAATGAGATTTCATTTCCACTGAAGCAAAAGATGCTCTTCTAAAATCATGCTGAAAACCCTGATCATCGAGTTTTGTCAACACTTAAGAACATCTCACATTTATCTACTGATAATATAATTCGTATTGACAATATTAAGCTGCACGATTAATCGTTAAAAGATGGCGATCTCGATTCAAACACCCACATGATCTTGTTTCTAAATGACAGTGATTCGGCTATTTTTATTAAAACTTTGACAAAATCAAAACCAGAACAATCAAATCTGTGTTCTTCACAAACTGTTTTTTTTAAGCACACACACAGTATCGTTATTTCTGTGTTACAAGAATTCAAATGATCACAGAAGTACTGGGATAACAGTTTATAGTGGGAAATAAACACTGATGTCTATAAAAGCGTAAAATAAATACATATATCACCTTTTGAAAGTAACACGGCGCTTCAATAAACGATTGTATCATTACATCGTTACGCCAGTAGGCGGCGACAAGAGACTGTTTTTATTCGTCATTGAATCATTCATTCAAGAGATTCGTTCAAAAACGCTTATTCATCCAGTAATGACACAAGTGAAGTATTTTTGAGTGAGTCATTGAATCATTCATTCAAGAGATTCGTTCGAAAACGCTTATTCATCCAGTAATGACACAAGTGAAGTATTTTTGAGTGAGTCATTGAATCATTCATTCAAGAGATTCGTTCGAAAACGCTGATTCATCCAGTAATGAAACAAGTGAAGTATTTATTAGTCATTGAATCATTCATTCAAGAGATTCATTTAAAAACGCAGATTCATCCAGTAATGACACAAATGAGGTCTTTATGAGTGAATCATTGAATCATTCATTCAAGAGATTCGTTCGAAAACGCTGATTCATCCAGTAAATTAAACAAGTGAAGTATTTATTAGTCTTTAAATCATTCATTCAAGAGATTCGTTCAAAAATGCTGATTCATCCAGTAATGACACAAGTGAAGTATTTATGAGTGAATCATTCACAAAATCCTATTTTTTTAAACAAAAAAAGAATGAACTCAAATTAAATAGACTGTAGCAAGCAAAAATGGTCAGAACCTCTAGTAAATTATGATATTTTGTTTAGTTTGCTTAGTCAAAAAAAAAAAAAATCATAAAAGAATTCTCAATTTATCCAGAATTGTGCAATCAACTTACACTGTAAATGTAGAATCATGAGGTTTACTATTTCAGTCTTTCTACTTAAAAATGTCAAGTGTGTTACCTGCCATTTATTTAATTATGTGTGAAATTTCTAAGTGAAAATTGATTAAAAAGTAAATCCGTCACCTTTTTTTTCTTTTTCTTCAGTGTATGCATTTGATGATGTGCCTTTTCTGTCCTTCACCATTTTTTTATTTTTTTTTTCAGTGTAGATGCATTTAATGATGTGCATATTCTGTCCCTCAGACCTACAGTGACCCGGTGGAGAGCAAAAGCGGGCAGTCTAGCCAGCCGTCGTCACACATGATGCCCCCCAACACCCCCCTGTACAGCGTCCCGCCCCAGCCCTCCTCCCCGTACCCCTTCCCCCTCTCAGACCTCCAGAGCTACGCAGCGGGGGCTCCCAGACACGGCCTGCCCCGCTCGGCCATGCTGCCCGCGCTCAGTGCCTCCCCCCCAGCCTCCTTCCAGATCAGCCCCCCCCTCCACCAGCAGCTCTCCCTGCACCAGGGCTCGCTCCTCAACCAGCCAATCCGCATGCAGCAGGTCCAGTCACAGCCAATCATCTCTCACCAGATGGGCCTCCAGGCTCCGCTGCACTCCCCACCCCCAGGACAGCAGGTTAGCGTGCATGCTGGGAGACGCCACACGTGCTTGTGTTTATGGGGTGTGATTGCCATGTAACACTGTGCGTTACATCTGACATTTCGGTAACACTTTACAATAAGGTTCATTACTAGTTAACTACATTAGTTAGCATAATGCCACTTATGCAGCATTTATTAATTTGTGTCTAACATTTACTAATACTTTCTTAAAATGTTGTTATCATTAGTTAATGTATTTTTATTAACTAACATTAACAAAGATGAATAAATACTGTAACAAATATATTGTTCATGTTAGTTAATACATTAGCGCTTTTGTAAAGTGTTACCGAAATTTTTATATGCATGCACTACATTTGCCAAATTGTGCGGTGTAGGTACAGACCCACAATGCAATGCACTTCATTTCGTGATTTTTTAAAAATGCAAATAAGCCGTAGAAATGTTTAGCATTGCATGCATACTACTTTATTAAATACAAGAGTATACAATATACAGCATATATCGCACAGTAAACTCTATTTAATTCCAAACATGACCATTTAGTGTGGCACACTGCATACAGCTTCATGCACTAGACGCCACACGTGCTTGTGTTTATGAGGTGTGATGGGAACGGCACACTACCATGTAACAATGCATAGTATAAAAAATGTGCACTGTACAACCAGAACACACTGCAATAGGTACTGTATCCCACAATGCAATGCTCTCAACTTGAACTTCCATTTCCAGTGTTTGTTTGATTTTTTTTTTAAATGCGATGATGATAATTGAACGTCATTTGCTCAGAGATAGCACACTACCATGAAACATTTCTGTAAGGGTTAATGCCCGACGAGGTGTGTATTGTCAGGTTTTAATGGACGACGGCGAGGCGTGAACCGTCCGACGCACAGCGGAGTGAAGTCCATTAATACTTAGACAACGGACACCTCGAAGGGCATTAGCTCGCTTATACCATGGTCACTTGCCAAATAACACATTAGTTTCTATTTTAATTAGTTTTACAATCGAAATCTAAAGTTTTTACAAACAATAACTTGGTTTCCCTGGTTACGCCTGATGGTTTATTTAGCAACCGGAAATATTTATAGTGCGCTCAGCTCGGAGAACCCTTCAGTTTGGCTAACTTACGAGCCAATTTTTTTCATGTAAGTTAGGCTTGTCTAGCCATGGGCGTTACACTTTACTATAATTAAAGGGGTCATATAATGCCATTTTTGTACAAGCTAGTATGATTCTTTAGGGTCTAAATTAAAAGTTTGTAATATACTTTAATTAAAAATTCTCATTAGTATTGTAAGAAAACACTTATTTAACTTGGTCAAAAACAGCTCTGTTTTCAGCACGTTGTTTCAGTGCATATGACTTTAAATGATAATGAGCTTTGCTGACTCCGCCCCTCTGTTCTGTGCGTACACCGTAACTCAATAACACAATAACCATAACGCGTTGTTCATTATAGACGTGGAATTATGAATTATATTGAGAACGTCGTACATAGAAAACATGCCGTAATGTACCCTGAGTGTAAACCTTAGACGCATTCATTGTGAAGCGTGCAAGCGATTTGCAAAGATTAATATAAATATTAATATAAAGTTTAATAAAACGTTACACTCACTTCAGTTGTTCTAGAGGTTCAGCAGGAACACGAATATCTGGTACCGATCCTTTATTCATGAGCAGCTTCTTAGCAAAACCAGCTTTATACTGACCCTCGTTTATAAAGCAGTCTGGTGTGTGAAATGATTTGCGCAAACATGAGAGCATTGACGTTGCTCGTGGGGAATATTCCCTTCGAAAACAAACTCAGCCACTGTGTCTTCAGCGGTTCGAATTTAGGAACATTAAAATGACTGTGTTCGTTATTACACCCAAGAACAGAACACCACAATCGCTTAGACGCCATTCTGCTCATAGACAGTGCTCCAGCATATCAACAATGACGGACTATGATTGACAGCTCCCTCACGAGCGAGGGCGGGTCTGTGTTGAAACGCTGCTGTCAATCAACGATCGTGGGAGGGGCTTCCGAGCGTGTGACGTCACACGGTCGAACGGCTCGATTTGAGGCAGGGGAAAACATATAAGGAGATTAAAACAAAAACACTGGATGGATTTTTATCATTATATGATGGTTGTGTACAGGCACTGCCAACACACATTTCAGTACAATCAACTTGAAAAAGTGCACGTACCATTATATGACCCCTTTAAAACACACAGGTAGGCATAGTATAACGGCTAACTAGATGTTTGTTTTGATACAATAAATTGTAAACGGATACTTTGACTGCCTGTTGCTATGGTTACAGCGCTTTTATTTATTAATTTCGAACGGTAAACAGTCAGTTTCACCAGAACTACTTTATTAGGTGTCCTCTATCACTTTTTAATGGACACCCTGCAGCCAATCAGAATCGAGCATTCACCCAGACCATGGTATAACGTTGCATACTGCATTGTTTCATGTATTTAATAAACATTATGGTAGTATTCCGTTCCAAACTTGCCATGATCAAAATATTAAACAGAAAACAGGCAAACAGGTTAATTTTTATGTGAAAAAACATTGATACACATGCAGTTTATA